CTGATATCCAGACTGCAGCGGGAGTAGTACGACGCGCATTTCCCAGGATCTGTCCATTATTTGGGTTTGAGGAAGATACTGATGATAGTTAGCTGGTGTTGGACGCTGGTGCTTCCAAGGCCGGCGGCATGTTCAGGCAAGACAATAAGAATGAGACGTGGTCTCTGAATGTCGGCCTCATAACAAAACTCAAAGTCGCGCAGCGTGCTATGGAGAGGGCTATGCTCGGTGTTTCCCTACGTGATAAGATCTGAAATACGGAGATCCGTAGAAGGACCGGTGTGTACGACATAGCCCGAAGAGTTAGCACGCTGAAGTGGCAATGGGCAGGCCACATCGCTCGAGGATCTGATAACCGTTGGGTAAGAAAGGTCCTTGAGTGGCGACCACGTACCGGACGACGCAGCGTGGGGCGGCCCCCAACACGGTGGACTGACGACATCGTCAAATGTGCTGGGAGCCGCTGGATGCGGATAGCGCAGGACCGCGCATTGTGGCGTTCTATGGGGGAGGCCTATGTCCTGCAGTGGACGGAAAAAGGCTGATGGATGGATGGATGGAAGTCTTCGAAACTACACTATTGATCAAAATAAGTAAAACTAAAACCAAGACGGACCGCTCTTTTACCGTTACTGGGAAATATTGTGAAAAATGCAAAAAATACATAGAGCTACGACCAACTGAGTGCAGCAATCCCAGTTTTTTTCTAAACTATATTGCCGGAAAATGCACGACGCAGAGAGTTGGCATTAACAAATTTGGAGCTTTAGGCAAACTTATTGCCAGCTATCTTCAACTTACCGACCCCGAATTGTACACAGGACACTGCTTTCGCCGAACATCTGCGACCTAGCTAGTTGACGCTGGTGGAGATATAACGGCACTAAAGCGACACGGTGGCTGGAAGTCAACGACAGTTGCAGAAGGCGATATAGATGATTCAATGACTAATAACATCGCTGTATCCAATTCAATACTTAACAGTATTGAAAATAATAGAAATGAGGTCAACATTAACATACCCTCTCTGAGTACCTCCAATAACGCTTCCTGTCCGGTTCAAATTCAGTTTCATAATTGTAATATTCAGAACATCAATAATTATTACAAGTAAAAATAAATTTGTTGTTATATTCAGCGTTTTATTTGCAATATTGTTTTACGTATTATAGTATGAGAGTAGATAAAGTAGTGTATGACACTGTACATAACTTGGTCTTATAACACTCGTGTGATAAGACCAAGACCAAAAACATACTCATGTTATAAGAACCCTTATTATGCAACAGTATCATAAACTACTATTTTATATGATGTAACTAAAAATTTACGGTTTTCGCAATTTTTACTTTATCTGTACTATAAGACGATACTTCGTACAAAATTTCAAGATTCTAAGTTCACGGGAAGTACCCTGTAGGTTTAGAGTTTCGAAAATTTGCGGATATTTGCGGCATAAACGGCTTGCTTTGGCTTAGAAGTTTGAGTTTTACAGCTCCAAGGAACAGTAGACCTGAGTATTAGATATAAATTTCAGTATGATACCTCCACGGCTTCCTGAGAAAAACGGTCTTGAACAGAAGGACGGACGGACAACAAAGTGATCCTATGTGGGTTCCGTTTTTTCCTTTTGAGGTACGGAACCCTAAAAACAGATCGCCGATTTGAGAAAGTAAAATTATAATATATGGAAAAACTTGTAACGTAAACATTTTTGTTGTCAATCTGTCTTCCGCAGTCGATTTGTCGTTTTGTCATGTAATGTCTGTCGTCTGTCTGTGTATCTGTTGCGAATTTCCTATCTTAGTGTGTCTAAAATTATTTCTAGACAATATAAAGGACTGTTTAAATCTCATTAATCTAGGTCCAGCAATTTTGACTTTGCGTTATGAGTCAACCACCACAAGTCACCATTTAATCAATATGTCCATTCTCTTTTTTACATAACAGAAGAAGTTTATAGAATAAATAATTACTCGTCCCGGCTACGCACGGGAGTATTGTCAAAGATTTAAATCATATTGTATTTAGTAGACACGAATCAGCATCCGGAAATAATAGGTATATAGGTAGGTACGATCTGGTAAAAATGGTTCGTAATCGGTCATGTGGTTGGAAAATAGAGTTTTGCCCCAGGAGATCCCTAGTCCGTGGAATTAACAGAACAAAAATTGAACTTATTCTTGTACAATTTCAAACATTGAAGATTTCTTTTTGAAAATCAGTCAAGTGGTTAAAGAAATCGGATTTGACACCCGTCGTTTCATTTCCGTAGATTTGTTGGGAAAAATGTTGTTTTAATGTAATCCTTTACAATAAAACTTCATAATAGTGGAAGATTTTACTTTAATTGCGTCAAGATGAGTCAGTTATTATATCCTTTTGTCTCTTTATATACTCGTAATAGTATAGAGTATGGAATAGATGAGGAGCTTAGGAACAAAAAGCGTCATTTACAGTTTTTAACTTTTTGAGTAAATTGAGAAAATAAATATTCAAGTTGATCTAAGCAATTTTTATTATTTTTTATTAACCATTTATGTGCCAATTATTGTATAAAATTTAATGTATTATAAGATTATCATGCTAGTTTTGAAATTTGGAAAAAATAAAATAAAATACATATCAAATGTCACCCTTTGATCCTATAGCTTGTAAATGTACCTATTTGATTCAATAATTTTGTAAAATGTCACCTTTTGAAACTTACTGTCTAAAATTTGTTACCTTATAAAACATTCAGTATGAAAAGAAAAATAAAAAAAGATTTACACAAATCAATTTTATTTATTATATATGAAATTCTCCACAATCAGGTTCCAAACAATCACAATGATTTTCATTTTCTTCATTGATATTTTCATCTACTTGACTTTCATACAAAATATTACTACAATACCATTTTAATGAAGGCTCATTTTTCCAGTCTTTTCCAAACTACTTTTTTAATAAACTTTAAAAATCCTTCTTTTTAGCACCTTTGATAGTGTCCCAATTCTTTCTCAACTAAATTAACATTGCTTAGGTTAATTTTCCGCTTTAAGAGATTTATTCCCTTTTCTTCTGTATTACTTTGATATCTAAAGTTTTGAAAAGTTTTAACTATTGCTTCAGTTTCATTTCTTGTAATCTAGGACTAGACTAGGTGGATCAGTGTTGTCAATGTACAAAATTATTTAATAGCGCTTTAACAATATTTTAAAATCGATTCATTTTTATGGGTAAAATGTACCCGGTTTGAGCCGACTAAAGACTCTTCAAACATATTTCTTAAGAATATGTAACTTTTTGAATTGGAATCTTAAAAATCACTGTGATTGAATGAAAATGTATCTTTTTCTTCCGAAAGCAGCACTTCACATCGATTTTTTTTGAAACTACTGACTTTTTCAACAAAATCTTGGGAGTTACAGATAGAATTTAACATTTTGAGCCGATTAAAATAAAAAAACCGAATTGAGCAAAATACGTAAATGACGCCTTTTGTTCCTAAGCTCCTCAGATATAGAAGAAGACATAGATATATATATTCGATAAACTAAAGACTGCTCCAACATTATGTCATTCAGATGTCAAATTATGAAGTTTAAGCTTTAAGTTTTTAATAAATAGCAAATCAGAGCAAATCCGCTAAAACAGGTCGAATATATGAAATCTACTTGGTCAGGGGTAAGGCCACCCTGATTTTTGAAAACGTTTGTATGTAAAATCTTATCCCTAGGACTGCAAATTTTGCATAAACTTAATTTGATTGTTACATTTATTAATTCTGCAATTGGAAATTAAAAACATTTTATTAAGTGATGATTTCATTATTTTAAAGTCGGGAAAAAAATATTTCGTTCAATGTTCATTCCACCAAGGAAATTATGATGTTTAAGAGGTTTCAACGAGACGTTTTATAAGGGGAAAAATATCTTTCCTCTTATAAAACACCGGGGAAAGCCAAGAACCTTTGTCGGAAAGCAAACCTTATCTTTTCTACAAACAATTATATTATATGCTCTTAGATATGGTGAATCTATACACATCTATAATAAAAAGAATACGAATATAACCACATCACCTGTTGATCTCTCTGCGTTCAAATCACAGCACAAAATATAACACTTAATAAGAGCCTGAAATAATTTGTAGACTGCAAATAAACGGAAGCCATGAGGTGAATAGCGTCTTATAAATAAATTCTGCTATAAATATTCCTGGTCATATTCCTTTTTCTAATACATATTTCCACGCACACTTATCGATAAAAAATCTATTGTGGCCTCAATATCAATAAGATACGGCGGCGAACTTTTTATTATCTTGTGTAATGGTTTTTTTGAGTGTCAGATTCAATAAATAAATTCGTAAAACAGCAATATCGTTGTAGATACACCATTAGCAGAATTAACACTCGGCGGATAGCGTGAGCATATTTTTTTATAATATTTTAGAAGAAATAAAACCTGTTAAAACTTTTATCTTTTTCTGATATTACTTAAAAGGAATCTTTCAAGAAATTATTGAGTCGCGCCGCCCTTAACCTTTTACTATATTACGAGTAGCAAAACTTCAGTGTTGCTATTATGAAGATACAAAATATAATAATACAAAGGTATAAAAAGCACGTTAAAAACATATTGGCGAATAATGTTGCATAATGGAGAATGACGCTTTTCCACAACTGACACATACCTTCGCTCCCTGTGGCGGTGTCAAAAATGTACAAAAACAAACATTTAAATTCAAGTAAGTATTGATGATAAAAAAGCCAACATTAAGATAAAGAAATGTTGTTCTGTTCATATTTTTCACATTCTCATTTTTAAAAAGCATACCTATCGGATACGAATCATTTACTCACAATTATAGCTCATGAAGCACAAGAATGTGAAAAACATCATGAAAGGCTGGAAAAAACCTACAATTTAATGTTGGCTTCGTAAAATGTAAATATAGGTACTAATAGTAATAAGTAGTTTAATATAACAAATAATATAAGCGATGCAACCTACCTCTTCGTCTCGGATATCTTTCAGGGTGTAGGAAACGACTGTTATGCCCATATTTATGAGGTCGCTTGAAGCTACTTCAAAAACCTGAAAAAATACATATATAAAACAATAAGCCAGTAATTATTTAGCGGCAGGCACCTGCTGGCTCTAGTTCTTGGATCAGCGTGGATAAGTAATACATAAATTGTTAATCGTGTGGGAATGGCGCAGAATGCTCGGAAAAGACAAATTTATATTTATAGGTCAGGGCCGATATTTTTTGAGAATAAGAAAATCGGAACATGATTCAAAACTAAGCGAAGGCAATAAAAAGAGGTGAAAAATAATTTCGAGGTCGAGGAATGCGGTGGGGGCTGATCTTTTAAGTGGGGAAAACGGTTTAAGGCGATTTTGGGGAAAACTTCAAGTAATATTTAATTAGCTGTTTTTTATTTAACAGTTGTATTTAAGTACACTTTTTTCACAAAACCTAATAATATCTGCGAATACTATATAATACCTACACTGATCGCTGATTGCTGCATCAGTTGAATTTTTAACTTCCTATGCACGGCAAAATTCATACCTGCCAAACTTTTTTTTTAATATCTTTGTACGCTCTTGAGGACGTGCGGTCTCTAGAGGTTGACGGTTAATTATTCTAAATCATTTTAAACACGAACAAGAATTAAATTGTACATATAATTTTCATGGACTTCACACGTTTTACACGACTGCCCAAAAGGAGTGTAATGTATTCAGGGTTTATGGATGTACAATTCTTTATTCCACCATAACTTCTTAACGCCTGAACCGATTTCAATATGTGTGGTATTCATCATCCCGGGTAACATTGGATACCTAAACTGTTAAAATTGAAATAGCAGAAATGTCAAAATGTCAATTCTTTATGTCAATAAAAAAAGTCTAATTATTACAATATAGGTATCATCATATTTTTTTATTTTTTAAAGTATGGAACTGCTTGATGTTTAAATCTAAAGAAAATACAACTAGAAAAATATCCACGCGGACCAGGCAGCATTATGACTATAATTGCTATTTCTTCTTTCAAATGTTTAATACTTGTAAAAGTATTCATTTGACATTGTGGGTTACCTATAATGCGAAGAGATGGCGCTGCTTTGCAGCTTAAGAATGGCTAGAGGAATTTCGACGCGGTCTGTGAGGGCCGCGGTAGCATAAGTGGTCAGTGCATTCGCCCGGATTGCGAAGGGTGCGGGTTCGAGTCCCGTCTGCTGCCTGGTCCGCGTGGAATTTTTTCTAGTTGTATTATATAGGTATCATTTTTAAAGGTATTAATGAGACCATATGAAATATATACAATTATAGTAGCATTAGTTAACAGGTTTACCTGTAAAGGAGACAAATATTACTTTTTTTTTACTTTTTATTTTTTTTTTGTCGGCTGTCGTGTTTTTTAAGAAGTCAGTCTTTTTGTACGTTGTGATACAACGATACTAAAAACCAATAACATTACGAACAAAATCGTGGCTCATAACTGTCCGAAAGGTACATTGGACGATCCACGCAGCTCCGTAGGATGATCGCGAAGCCAAAAACAATAAAGAGCATTATTTACAAATTGAAACTCACCATTAATGCAAAGGACATAAGGTTTTAATTTGTATGCATACGTCAAAGAGTTATGGCAGTTAGAAATGAAAGCTCGTAAAATTTTATGGGTTGTCGGTACAGGTGAAAGAAAATATAGACTTTATTTCAATGAATTTACATCTATATCCAGAAAGCCATTAGCATAAAACAGGTACCTACGGAGCGCGAGGAAAAGAGATGACTACATGACACACCATGCATTTGCACATATAAGAGGCCCGGTATGAAAAAAATGTGAGAAGTAAAATCTATCGATGAATGACCTCGTTACGTTTTTGGTGCGCATCCTATGTCGCGCAACTATGACAAACAAAGATGACGGATTGACATTAATATTTTTTTTAAAATCTGAACTGAATTTAGATATTGTTTCTGATAGAGCAATGGGGACAACGAGGTATGGTACAACCATTGATGCGGTATTTTCAAGATTCGTGAACCACGTATCTACGAACGTCCATGTGTCTTATTTTAGTTACCATAAACCACTTGTTGGAGTTTACTCCTTAAGAATTGATTTTCATATAAGGCCCCCGGTATGAAAAAAATATGAGGAGTAAAATCTACTGAACAAATGACCTCGTTACGTTTTTGTGCGCAACCTCATCTGCGCACCTTTCACTTTTCAGTTGTGTGTGTGTATACTTGTGTGTAGCCAGCGTCAATCAACCACGACAATAAAGAAGTACAGTTATATTTCATCGATAGAATCGATTGATATCTATTGAAAAGAATCGATCGATAAAATAAAATCGCGAATTCTATAATAAATGATTAGCGGACATTTGACGTAAAACATTATTTCTTAAGAACGGTTTAGTCTTTTTTCTCTCTTGTTCTCTTTTGAGCAAATGAAAGTGTCTCTATCGTTTTTTCACAATAAATGAGAACTTCAAAACCGTTTTTCTCATAAATAAATAAAAATTTTCAAAAAAACAGCGCTTCGGACGTCGGTAGATAATTATTATTTACGGACGTACGAAGCGATTTTTTTGAAAATTTCCACTTATTTATAAGCAAAACCCTTTCATCAACAGCTCTCAAATTGATAAATTATAGTAAAAAAGTTATTTTAAAAATTTACATGTTGCAATTTTAAAAAGCTATGAATGTTAATTTATATAAAAAATACTTTTTTCATATTATCTAATTTATTTATTATAAAATTCTGAAAATTATCACGACTTGATGTAATTTTTTTTAATACCCTTTTATTAGCTTTTGGTGTATCTCTACTTGTAGCCGACTGCTTCGGACTTGATTTTGTTTTGTCTGTTCAAAGACGATCGTTTTTAGAGTGTAAACTCCGGTCGTGCGTCGGAGCTGACACACACACAATTTTTCACTGTAATTAATAATGCAGAAAATGTTGATTTAATTAATATTTAAAAAAAAAATGATAATAGTCTGATAATAATAATTACATAATTTATCAACATTCCTAATGATAAATTTATGCACATCTGAAATTGACTATTGTAAAAAGTTTAATGTAAAATATTTCGTCGATTAGTTATAATAAATTTATATGAAATGAAAAAATATATATTTATATATGTATATTATTTTCATTAATTTGTTAATTTACCCTTTCATACAGTATCAATCTTTTTTAAGTTAAATAAACTCTTTTTGCGTCTGGTTAGACTATCGAACTTAAGGAGTAAACTCCAGTCGTGAGTCGGAACTGACACACATATTTTTTTTATTATAAAACAGTGTAGAGTAAGTGTTAGCTTAAAATGCGTTAAATTAACAAATATTGATTTTATGCCTGTCGAAAAAACGACATTAGATGCTATAAGTATTTTTAACGCATTTTTTACGGACCACTGCGGCTTTCAACGTTCTGTGTGTGACTGTGAACCAATAAGTGCTTGAGTGGTGTTCTAACACTACTGAATTGCTACACATTTTAGAGAGCTCGTGGTGGTTTTTAATATCGTTGGTGTGTTGGTTTTTTATAATATTATAATATACATATACCTTTTTGGAGAATATTTTCCTGTCTTTATATATTTCTTCGACGGTCATGGATCCCATAATAGCACGCTGGTGGCCTTCGAGGGTCACGAGGGCTATATGTTGGATCTCCTGTTCCGATTTTCCTAAGAACTGCTCGCATGCAGACAGCAGCATTTCAGCATTTTGACCTTGGATCTTGACCTAAAACAAAATATTAAGAAAAGTCTAATTAATCTTCAAGATTAGTATTGTAAACGTTTAATAAACTATACAGCGTTACAAAATATATGCACGCACGCAAACTTACGCACACGTATTGCGTGCGCACGATTCTCATTGATTTGACTTAGTAGTAAGCAATAATAAAATGTTATTACAAAAATTCGGACGTTTTAGCACATATAATCAAAATATTTTAATTCATACCTGAGCGATACCTGTAACGGATATAGGAACACCTTGGCTGGTATAAACAGTTGGTGATTCCACTTGCAGCGTCATGGTGTTCAAAGATATCCTTTGTACATTCTGTATAGCAGGCCATACAAAGGCGCGGCCGCCAGGCACCAGGAGGGGTTTCGAATAACAGCATCCTGAAATTATAGAAAAAGTAATCTTATACAGGCCATCCCAAAACTTTGCCACATAGATGAAAAGTAGCTAAAATACTGTAGATAGAGTTTTAGTAAGAAATTGTTTAAAAAGAATTTAAAGACATCCCTCCTTAACCGATAGGCGGACACGCTAAATGTGAAAAATAAATTACCGGTAAAGGACAATGCCAGAAGTTCTATAGAGGTTTGACCCACCCGGAAAAAGGCGGTTTTTGAACAGGTAGTTTCTAGGTACCTATTCGTCTGTTTTTCGATTGTTATCAGTCTGTGAGGGTTTCCGAGTTTATTCATTACAGGCAAACATACAAAATGTTCTCTTCATAGTGTAAATAATTGTAATAATAACAAATACGAAACATATATTGTATATAGGAGTGATGCGTGCGCTGCTCCATTCCCCTATGCCTTGTGCACCGCCTATTGTGAGGTTATTTATGAAAAGAAGTTTCACTTCAGATTTGTCGTCCGTGCATACTAATTTAATTTTGTTTGTTTTTCCTAGTACCAAATCCATAAATTTCAAATTTCCGAGCAAAATGCTGCAGAATAGCATTACGTGCATCACGCTTTTTGTAATTTACACTATTAGTGTCCCATAAACACTCATTATTGCGATTAATCTCTAAGTACCAATATATTGTTATAAACAACCATGATCTAAAACGTTCAACACTTGAATGAAAAATATGCCAACACAAATACGTGAAATTATTAAAGCAACTCCCCAAAAATGGTACACGCCTGTATTTCGACGTGTCCAAACTTGAAAGCAATAATCTCCTAAACATAGGGGTTTGGTGTAAACAAGACATTTGCAATTCTTTTATGTCAAAACTGGCTTTCAATAATTCTTACTATGACCTTTTTACTATGTCCGCTTGTAAACAGTTGCTTACAATTCTTGAAGTTCAATTATCGCATTCAATTATTGCTCTTGTATATGCAAGAAAATTGCATCGTGTAAATAGTACAGTCGCCATCAGATATATCTGAGCATACAAGATGACCAAATACATCTGAACAGTTAAAATGTCAATAAGTTCTATACACTACAAGTGACCATTAATATCTGATCATTCATTACTTCAATAATATCTGAGCAGATGCCTGTCAATAATATCTGAACATACAACTTTTCAAAAATATCTGAACAATTTTAATAGGACCTCTTAATTATTTATTTATAATAACATGACGCTGGCAGTTAAACACTTTCCAGTTTTTATTCTTATCACCTCTGTCATGTGTCATGCACAAATAAATTCAAGCAGCTTGCTTACGTATTAGTTCATACCATAAATTAACTATAATTAATATGAGTTCGTACCGTATTGATGCGGAAATGAAACATAAAATAATACAACTAAAAAATGATGGTTTATCCGTAAAAGATATCGCCGATGAGCTAGGGATAGCCGTAAGTATCACGGAGAAAAATGCTAAAAATCAATTGCCCACAAAACATGAAACTTTATTCACAAAGTATAAAATTGTATTTATTTCAGAGAAATACTGTATATTTATGGCTAGAAAGATGGCAGCAAGGAGAAACATTAAATAATCATGTTTCATTTGGTCGCCCGCGTATTACTACAAATAACCAAGACATAGCTATTATAGATAAAGCCAAAAATGACAGATTTATAAACACTACACAATTTTCAAGCACATTCGAAATATCCACTAGCACCATTAGAAGACGATTAAAAGAAGGAGGTTTAAAAAATAGAGTACCGGCAAAAAAACCAACTCTCACGCCAAGGCACAAAATGCAGCGGCTACAATTTGCAGCTAATTATTTAAATTTTAATTTTCAAAACGTTATTTTCATGGACGAAAAGGTTCTCTGCTCATCAGATAATGGGCGATTAAGTTTGTGGCGACCCGAAAACACATGTTACTTAGAACAAAATGTGCTGCCTAATCGCCGGAGTGGACGTATTTCAATTGGATTTTGGGGATGGATGTGCAAAGATGGTCCTGGTGAGCTTGTGGAAATAAGTGGACGAATGAATGCAATGAATTATAAGGAACTTCTGGAAGATACTTTTCTTCCTACAGCTCAAGTTTTTTATCCAGAACAACAAATGACATTCCTTCAAGACAACAGCTCAGTACATAATGCTCGTACAGTACAGACATGGATTAATGAACAGAGAGAACTAACTTTAATCAAACTACCACCAAAAAGTCCAGACCTCAATCCCATCGAAAACCTTTGGGGTAAAATGGTGCAAGAGTGGGATGGAAATCAATGTCGAACAACAGAAGCCTTAAGGCGACATGCAAATGATGTTTGGGAATCGTTCAGAGGTCGAGGTTTTTGTGAGAAGGTAGTTGGTTCCATGAGGAAACGTTTACAAGACGTATTAAATGCAGAAGGAGGTTACACAAAATACTAATGTTTCATGAGAAGTATATAATTGGTCAGCCTTTAAATAATTTGGTCGGCACAAAAAGATTTTGTAAGCAATTTAAAAAATCAGGCAGCAATCCTTGTTCGGCAAATAATTATATAATGGTCAAAAATTTAATATGAGAGTATACAAGATGGCTCATTTAAATGGGTCAGTATGGGAAAGTTTGAACTATAATATATACGAAGATCTGTTCTTAGGAACTATGTCATCGATTTTAATAAAAATTAAAACTGCATTCATACATTTAAGAAAAACCCTGTGGTCAGCTGGGGAATCGAACCCGGTCGTTTTGAAAAAAAAAACTAACACTATTTCCTATTTCTATTTATTAGTAAGATAAGTTACCTATACGTGTTAAATTTTGTATTAAAAAAACGGTGGTCACTTAGAACCTCTACTGAAATAATTTAAATTATGTGACAAAAATGCATTTTACGCATTTGAGACATCACGTTTAATAGAAACATTTACTGCTTCAGACCTACATAATCGATATTTAAATAGAAATAGTGTAAGTTTTTTTTTTCAAAACGACCGGATTTGATTCCCGTGCTGATCACAGGGTTTTCCTTAAATGTATGAATGCAGTTTTTATTTTTATTAAAATCTTGTTCCCAAGAACAGATCTTCATATATATTATAGTTTCAGACTTTCCCATCCTGACCCATTTCAATAAGCCAACCTGTATAATGAGAGTGGAGGGTTACCCGGGGAGAGGAAACCGAAGAAAAAAAGATGGATAGATTGTGTGAATGAGGACATGGCCAGTAAGGGAGTGAGTGTTGATATTGCGAGTGATAGAGGAGAATGGAAGCGGAAGACATGTTGCGTCGACCACATATAGAATTGGGAAAAGGGCATGCAAATGATGATGGTCAAAAATGAAATCATAAAAAGGCAGCTTACAATAACATGGATCTGCAAGATTTCATAATTCGTGTCTGTACTGTAGATTGGTTAGCAGGAGAAAACATGTCTATAAGCAGTATATTTGAATAGTATGCATATTTAAAAACCAGTCAAGTGCGAATCGGACTCGCGCACGAAGGGTTCCGTACCATTATCTAAATAAATATTTTTATATTGAATTAAATGTAAATTGCGGTAATTGCTTGATCTCGTTCAAATCAACTTTTGCTAGAAGTTTGCATGGTAATGTACAGACACGAGCTTTCATCTGGGCCCCACCTTTGAATATAGTGTAGCAATCTGCTGCAAGCTGTATAAAGCTAATATTTTAATGCAACGTCAATGTCATAATGTTTACCATTGACAACTTTACGTTACTAGGGGCAACCATGCAATTACGTCATCTGAAGCGACAGCAAAAGATCATTTCCGATGTTATGTTATGTTCCGTTTCCGAATTATACTTTGTAAAAATGTCACATTAAACTGTTTTTTCAATGACACTGACACGAAATAGTATTTTATAAAGAGGTTATCATTTCAAGGGTCGATTCATTATGACATTATGTCATCAAAACACTATCAAACTAAAATTTCGACCTTATTGCATTATGAATTCTAACAACATTTAGTGGAAATGGGTCCCATATTTAATTTATAGACCTATCAATTTTATAGACCTATCCATACCCCACACGTAAAGATTTGATAAAAAAAAAATCTAAGTCCATTCGTTTTTTTTTCTATTTTTGTATGAATATCGTTTTTTTGCCATTTGGCTACGGAACCCTAAAAATGGTGAGCAAAATAACTAATTGGTCTGCGTTTTTGTTGAAAATTCGACAATATACGTTACGGCCGTCTACGTCTGTTAGAAATTCCCGTCTAAACGGGCATTGATAATATTGGGAAATTATTAAGCTAATAATAATACGCTTATTTCAAGAACCTTACTAATTGCCTGATAACTTTTTGATTTGATCTCATGTATAATTATAACAATAAAACATTTTGTTACTATTTAATTTTAAACTCATTGTATCAGAAGTTGTTTTTTTTTATTTCGATCTCGATTATAATTTTATTATAATAATAAATACTTAAGCTTGAGCATCTACTGAGGTAGTGTACCAAGTTAATTCGTTTACATTTTTGATTATTTAACTCAATAAAAATTTATAAGAATTAAATTTGTTTTTTATTAATTTTCACTTTTATAAATAATACATACCCAAACCAAACAAACACATCCACTCAGACAGTAAATAAAATTTTTGTAAGGATGGCGCCCAGTTTGAGCATGACAAGTACAGAATTCCATTTTCCACTGCAATGGAAATAGTGGGACAAATGTTTCCTCCAAATTATTACTTATTTCTATTGCGGTTAAAAAACGCAGTTGTCTTATTTTTAACCCGGCGTTCGCACAGTTGGGTCTATTTGACCCGAGCAGTTTTCAAATGAGCGTGTTTCTTAAAATGTTTGTGCGACTTTGCCAAACTTCTCAGTAGCTGGAGCTAATGGTCCCCCCCTCCACGTGGGATTTGCCAATCAGTCGTGTTGCGGCCGCAGCGAGTGATAGACACGGCCAAACACGAAAAAGGTAAATATGACCCAACCATACTATTCGTGTCGTAATTTTGCGCCGT